CCTTTTTCCTTTTGCATTTTTTTTCTTTTCATGATGACAGTGGTGAGGCTCTGCCTGCCCTGCCTTCCCTGACTCCACGTCCCTGGTGCTATGTCACTGGAAGTTTTAAGAAGAGACTGTAGTGGGCAGCTATTTGTCTAGAAGCCCATGAGGGCGAACCTATGGCACCATCTGTGACACGAGGAACCATATTTGCTGGCACGCAAACTGTCAGTTCTGGTGTACATGTGTGTGCTAGCCAACTAATTTTTGGCCTTCTGGAAGCCCGGGGGAGGCCGTTTTCGTGCTCCCCATCTTCAGGAAAGCCTGGGGAGGGTGTAAAACAGGCCCAACAGGCCAACTGGAAGTTCATCTCCAAACTTCCAGTTGGCCCACTGGGCCCGATTTTCACCCCTCCAAGCTTCAGAACCTGGGGAGGGCAAAAAAACGGGCCCAATGGGCCAATCGGAAGTTTGGAAATGATCAGTTTCTGGCTTCCAGAAGGCCTCTGGGGGGCCCGGGAGAGGACATTTTTGCTCTTTCCAGGCTTCAGGAAAGCATCCAGAGCCTTGGGAGGGCAACCCCTCCCCCCCGTGCAGGGGTGTGTGTGTCATGCGCACATGGCAGGTTGCCGGGGCACATTGAATTGTGGGTGTGGGCACACACAAATTTGGCACACCTTTACAAAAGGGTTCTCAATCAGGGCCTTAGGGTCTCCTGATCAAGCAGGGGATTGGACTAGAAGACCTCCAAGATCCCTTCCAACTTTGTTACTCTGTATTCTGTCCTGTATTCCATCAGAATTCTCAATGTTGGTGCCAGCATAAGGAAGACTACTTAAAAATGTTCCTCCAAAGCTGATGCAGCTGACTTCATGTTCATCTTTCCGAAAGTGTGTGGTACGACTCCTCATCTCTTTCATTTGTACCCTTAGACATCTTCCTCCATTGCCAATTTAACTAACCAATATGTCAGGCCTGGAAGCCATCTTTTTCATTGGGACTTCAGACCTGCCACATTTAATGCTGTGGGAAATTGGGAGGGGGGATTATATAGAGTGGGATACATATAGTCAAAATAACATTTGCTTCTCAGAGAGTCAAGGACGTCTTGCCCTGCACCTGGAGCAGTGTGACTAGGAGGCATCTCAATGGGATGGTGCCTGATTGGGCCATGTGACAGACATGTGGATGCTAGGCAGGGACTTGAACTTTTATTTGGGTGGGAAAAACCTGGAAACTTTCAGATTTGGGTTTTCCCAGATGTGCCAATATGACATCTCTAATAAAATGGAACTTCGAGGAACCTTAAGCCTTGGAGTCTTCTTTCATTGGGGGTGTTAGTTGGAAACCTGATACCATATTTATGCTGAGCTGGATCCCAATTTGATGAACTGGGTACATTTTGGCATAAGATATATTACTGTTGCAATGCAGAGATTGCCTGCTTACCAATTCTTCTTACCTCGTTGTGTTGATACTTGAAAGATCTCAGTGCTTTCTCCCGAGACAAAGTGTGTGAAATAGGAACAGTTATACTCTGAAAGGAAGGAGAGGAGAGGAAGAAAACAAAAAATAAAATTAATACTTTTTGTCCAAATCAATTCTTTTCATTTTTATTGAATCCCGAAACAGACAAGGAATACAGACAATATACAGGGTAATCCCATATATTTTTGTTTAGAATTCAGTCCCATTGTAATGATACACATGGCAGAAAATCACATATGGTGGTGCAATTTCAAAGAGTTTATCTTGTTTGCTGCTTTTATTTTAAAAGCTGTTGTTTTTAATTAATGGAAAATGTTTATTTCTTCAAATAAACACTATGACAGGCAGCTACTCTGCACATCCCTTCTCAAATGTTCAAATATGTCAGTGAGGTGGGAGCAATCTGAGTCTTACCAGTGGTGGGTTCCTACCGGTTTGGACCGGTTCGGCTGAACCAGTAGTGGTTTGGCGAACCCAGGCCTGCCACACCCCTGAACCGGTTCTCTAGGTGGCGCCCTAGGCAGCACCATCTTGTTTTTTGCTACTGCGCATGCGCAGAACAATTTTTATTGCACTGCGCATGCATGCGTGACGCGCCCATGAGCAAACCAGCAGTAGTGACTGCTGGAACCCACCCCTGGGCCTTATGTATTCCACCTGTACATTCAGACCTAGAGCAGTGAAATCCTCCAATTCTTTAAATGTATCAAAAATCTATTTCTTTTTTTTTGGAACCTTTATTTTTGGCATAGATTTCTCACTTCTTCTGTATTTCAGCCATGTCTACAAGATTGCAGCATGTAATCCATGGCTAGTACTAACCTCCATGGCTAGTACTAACCTATGCATTCTAGGCAATTACAGGTAGTCACTGAGTTTCAACCATTTGTTTAGTGATGGTTCAAAGTTACGAGACTGAAAAAAGTGACTTATCGTGATTTTTCACACAGGCAACAATTGCAGCAATCTTGTGGTCATGTGATCCAAGTTTGACGCTTGGCAACTGGCATGTATTTATGATCCCGGTTGCCGTGTCCTGGGGTCATGTGATCACTTTTTGCGACCTTCTCACAAGCAAAATCAACGGGGAAGCCAGAATCACTTAACAACCATGTTACTAAATTAACTATAGCAGCAATGGAGGCAAATTTTGTGCTTATCTTTGAGTTCATCTTCTAGTACCATGATAGCAAACCTATGGGGCGCAGAGCCATTTCTGAGACCACGCAAGTGACATGCGCGCCAGCTGATTTTGGCCTTGATTTTTGGCTGTTTTTCACCAAAAATCCCTGAAGCCTCCGGAGGGTGAAAAACATCCCAACATACAAACCTCCGGGGGGTGGTGGTGGCAGGGGAGGCCATTTTCGCCCTCCCCAGGCTCCAAGAAAGCCGTGTGCACATGCACGGGGCAGTGGGGAAACACACGTGCATGTGCAGGAGGCATGGTGCAGGGAGGCATTAAATTATGGGGGTGGGCACGCGAGCACGTGCAATAGCACACGCGTGTATGCTTTTGGCACCCGAGGCGAAAAAGGTTTGCTCTCACTGTTCTAGTATATGGAACGAATAAACATTTTGGAAAAGTGGGGTTTTTAACAGTGTCACTGAGTGAGACACTGTTGACCTCACATACGCTCAAAGCTTCAGGCAATCTTAGAAAATCTCAACAAGCATAATGGGTTTTAACAGATTACATTTATTATTTGATTAGGCCCCTGTAACCACATGATACCTGCATCTGCATAACCAACCTATTCCCCACTCCCCTCCCCACTCAATCCAATTTAAAGCCTACATCAAATCAGTCAAGTCACTGTCCTGAGCATCTAATGCAATGAGTTGCAACTCATGAAAGCTTTTGTCTTTTAATTAAATGTGTTTTCACCAGAAATGGTGTTACCAGACTCCTCCTGATTTGTTTTGCCAGTGTGTTAAAACTACAAGAAAGTAGTTTACAACTGCAGGTCAGAAAGCGATTTCTGACTGCCAGCCAATGGAACAGGCGGTTATACTGTGAGTTGCCCAACGGCTGAAGATAACATCCCAAAAATTGTTGGTCATCCATTACCAATGTCCTGGTGGAAGTTGGAAGAGAAAACCTCCAACCTTTTGAAGTGCTGTGGCTGAGCATAGAGGACTCCACATGTTGCCATTCCGACACTTTCCCATGACATATCCCAGCTAACATATTGCCCTCAGGTTTTCATTTTGGCTAATTTCATTAGTTTGCCTGAATTGCCTATATTGTGTAACACAAGCAGTGTGATTGCTGATGAGCTTTTCTAGGGTAATCCCTTGGAGAACGGGTGTAAAACTTGCCACATTACATTGCCATCACGTGACATTTCATGATATTTTTCCCATTGGCGGAGCTGGGGTGGGTGTGGCCTGCATGTGACGCATCTGGCCCGCGGGGTAATTTAGCAATAAAGTTGACTGTTGTCTTTCTCTTGCTGATGTCATCTCCATCTCCTTCCTTCCCTGTACCAGAACTTTTATTTCTTGTTGAATTAGGGGTGTCCTCTTTTATCCGGGATAGACCTATTCCAACAACAGTGTACAGGGGATAAAAACTAGCAGATTCTCCTAGCACTATTGTTCTGTACCTGATGTCTATAGCAAGTCTATGATCTTGTTAAATAATATATTTTTCTTTTGGCCACACAAGATTTGAAGTCTCCACCTGGATGCCCTCAGCTTAATGCCCAGTCTTTGCAGGATATTTAGCAGCAATGCTGAGTGTCACAAGGGCACCACAAGGTCTTAAAAAGAAGATGCGCTGATTTAGGAAGCGGAAGTTAAAGACAAAGGCAGGTATAAAAAAATGATGTTTTAATCCTATTAATTGAAACTTTCTTTAAAATGCCATTTATAGTTCTAATATTCCCAAGTTCTTTTTACATGTTACATGTACATTACTTAGATTAATATCTACTTTGGGCAGGAATTGGTCAGTTGGCTTCCTGTTCATCCAGCATGCTAAATCATGGTTTGATTATTTACAGATTACTGAATAAACTGTAATTAGCTGGAATCCCCTTTTTCATCCTGGGAGATGTATTTCCTCCCTTTCCTCTGCTTGGGGACTAGGAAGGATGCAGTTAATAATATAGCATAATGAATAATGACATGTATGCCTATGGAGATTCTCAAACATCCAGGTCACGGCTGTCCCAAAGATGCTTTTTCCAAAGAGCAAGTGGACTTGCTTGTTTTTTTTTTTCTTTGAAAACGTTTCACTTCTCATCCAAAACCCATGAATTGAAGAAGATTCTTGGATGAAAAGTAAATTGTTTCCAAAGATTTTTTTTCTGCCTTTTGGAAAAAATGCATCTTTGAGGGACCTATGACATGGTCAACTAACTTTTTCAGAGTCATGTTTCTAAATACTTTCAAAGCAGTTAAAGAGTAAAATTGGGGCTTAATGGTTTGCAGGTATTGAAGACAACCAATTTGCCCTTAAAGCCATCCAAGAGAGTCTGGCAGGAATAGGGGTCATGAAGGAACACTCTGCAAAGTTTTAAGTTTCTGTTTTGCCTTTCAACTTCCTCTCCAGAATAAAGTAGAAAACATATGCCCAAGATATTTTTGTCTCTGTTGGCTCTGTTTTTAATTCTGTTAGTTTTGATCCTGTTGATTCTATTAATGTAACCTTGGAATAAACACAGAGCTAGTCCTCATGGTTTCTCTTCTTGTCTAGTCCTACCTCAAAGGGTTAATATCCACTCCTGCAAGTCTGAAAGTATCTCTCACATCCCTTGCTTTCACTCTTCCCAAATCTAGGAAGGGTTCCTTCTGAGGCAGCTTCTCCACCCCATTTCTTTGGGCTCAGATGTCATTGATCAGATGTTTGTCTAGGGCCTGCAGCTGTTCCTTCTGTCTCCCAAGGCCATTCCACATACCAGTAGAGGAAGTCATCATTTAGCAACTGCCTTGTACAGTTGCAGTGGTGATGAAAAAAACAACTCGCATTTATGACCTTTGCAGATCTCGAAAACAAAGGAAAACTGTAGTAAGGTTCTAAGCACAGTTCTGTTTTCATTTAGCAACAATGTGACTTAACCACCGAGTTGATGGTCCCAACTGTGGTCACTAAGCAAGGTCCATCCTTAAATGCTCATGATGGAGGCAGCCCAGTTTTCCTGCCCAATGAGTTCAGGCAAAACTGTTGACAGCGAATTGAGGCCCATCTCAGATTGCAAACAAACAGCCACTCCTCAGTTTTACTCAGAGCGAAAGCTACAATGAGCAACCAAACATCTTCACAAACTTACATGACCTTCCCACCTCCCAAGCAGAGAGAGGGAAGTTGACCACTTTCAGCTTTAGAGAAGTACCCACTGGTAGGGCAGATTGAGGTTTATCCTTGTTGCTGTGCCTCTGCTTTCCTAGAAAGCTTCATGACCATGAACTCCTCACTTCTGATGTCCATTGTAAGAGAGCTCAGGGGTCTTGGCACTGGGCAGCAAAAGACTTAGTTCTTCAAAGCCCCATAATCTGCTTAGAGCAGAACTCAGAGCCTTTGGCTTCTGCCCACAGAGGACCCTATAGTTGTCAGGTATTAGGCAGGGGTGGGCTTCAAAAATTTCAGCAACGGGTTCACTGCCCCATTGCTGGGTGGGCATGGTCATGGTGGGTGTGGACTACTCAGCCTCCTGCACCACAGGGAGGGGGCTTTTCACCCTCCCCAGGCTCTGGAGGTTTTCCCCGAGTCTCCGGGAGGGAGAATACTGGTTCCCCTGGGCTCTGGAGACTCTCCAGAGGCCCTCCAGAGACACCCCCCCCCCCGAGGCCAGAAACAGGCCCATTTCTTTCTACTTCCGGTAGGCCCATTTTTTTGCCTTCCCTCAGTCCCAGAGGCTTTTCTTGAGCCTCTGGGAGGGCAGAAATTGTTTCTCCCAGGCTCCGGAGGCCCTCTGGAGGCTGGAAACAGGCCCGTTTCCAGACTTCTGGAACCTCTGGTGGGCACGTTTCCCCCCCTCCCTGAGCCTCCTCACAGGCCCTGAGAGGGGACAGGAGGGGTGGGGTGGGCAGGGCCAGCCAGGAGTG